AAGGTTTTTCCAGCTCGGCTCAGCGTGACCCGAGTTCACAGGGACGGTTTACCAAACGGAAATTTGAGTTATGCAATGACTAAGTGTGATACCACGTTGTCTGCAAGCTACATGGAAATTTCAACAAATAAATGAACTCATAATGAATGAAAGTGCTGCAGGTGCACTATGACACAGACTGTACTGAAAATATGAAATTTTGATAACAGTGAACAAAAATCCAATTAAATCAGAGAAACAGTGTGACACAGAGCCATTAGCTTTAATACCTGATGGGAGGTGGAGGTGGGAATCCAGCCAAAACTGGGACAAAGATGGAAGCAGAGAGGAACGAAGAGAGAGGAGAATACAGATGGAGAATGTCTGAGCTTTTTCCTAATGCTCAGTAAGAGACTGTAGAAAGACAACGACAGTCACAGTGAGGATGTAATGCGAACTTTTCCCAACTCTGAGGGAAGGACCGGGGATGAGATTGCAGGACGCTGCTTTCGAGCTTGGAATGTCTGCTCATGACCAACCGTTAGCTTCAATGTGACGCACAGCAAGTAAACTGCAGCTGTGGACACAGCGTTACACTAACTATGTATTCTGCATGTTTACTGTGTGTATATGATGTTTAACAGCAAGCTGTGAACGAGCCTGAGTGCACTTACCAAAGTTTCATGTGTCTGTGCACACATAGTGAAATTACTCTACAGTAAATACGCCAATTTAACATTAACGCTGTGGGCTGGCCTGCAAGCCTGAGCAAACTCTGCAACTGTTAGCTAGCTAGCGCTGGTATCAACTTTAATACCAATGTTGTATCCTTCTACTGCTGGCCTAAAACCTTTGTGCTAAGATAACAAGTGCTCATCGTGTAGAGTAATTTACACTTAGCGACTTTCGCGAGTCCAGTACTCCTACGGCACTCAATTTAGTTGTACTAGAGCCTGACTGATTTATCAGCAGGCCAATATTAACAACAGGCTGTTGTTATAGCTGTTTGCTGATCACTCATCAGTGTCAGAATATATAACGGTCGATAACTGAAAATTAAACAGTAAAGAAGAGAAAGGAGAAACACCCTTCAACCATATTAGGTGTTGACGTTGCACAGTTTGTCCAGCAGGGGGCACTCTGCAACTTCCTCATTCTGAACGTCACAAATACAACAGTTAGCTATAAACAGTTGGTCAGTTTACCTGAAAATAGTAATTAGTTACTAATTAGTGATTACGTCTCCAAGAAAATAATCCTATTACTTTAATGATTACTTATTTTCAAAACTAATTAGTTACTTTATTCCTTAGTTACTTTTTAAAAACACGATCAGAAGAAAAACAGATCAATCACCTGATATCAGTCAGACTCTAAGCCACACATACCACGAACACATATCCTCACAAACAACTGCCTCGTGAAAGAAAAAGAAATGAAGCTGAGATGAGCCAAACTGTTCAAAGAAAAACAAACAAAGAGAAAAACTGCTTTTAGAAAATGTACTAAAGATTTTGTTTAATGTTTCCAATTTTACTTTGGATCTGACTTTTCAGGGAGCCAAAAACTCCAGAAAAACCCTGATATCACAGCAGCCCAACAGATGCAACAGATGCAACAGATGCAACAGATGCAGTACACTGGACGCATCCCACCACTACTGTGTGCTGCTCACTGAACAAGAACAACGCAGAGGGAGGAGCTGCGGCAGGACTGCTGCGTGTCATCAGTGTGTTCATAATTTGTTTTAATCATCTTCATTCATTCAAACCAACAAATTAACCAGACACTCAGATACATGGATATTATTGGAGCTAATCATTACCTGAGCTTTGGGACATAAAGCTACAGCAGAATAACATCTCACTGATTACACCAGCCATGACCTGTAAATGCAGACGTACTTGGCTTGTAGTTATAACACAGATTATACAACCTGAACACTCAAAAATGTTCAGTTAAAAACAAACCTTGCATCCTTCAAACAGTAGCTTTTGAAGAGCGCAGAAAAGCACGCCTGTGTTACTGTGACCTGCTGGGCATCCTAAATGCTTTCAGCTCGTTCTGTAAAGAAGCAGCTGTACAGTTTCCTCATTCATAACTCAGCCTGTCATCCTTCCACTGTGCTTTCAGTGTGAGAATCTACTAAACTGGCTTTTTAGATTTTTGGCAGCAATTGCAATTATTCAACAGAAGTGAATCAGCTATACAGCTACGGCGCTGCTATATTATGAAATAAGGCTCCTTTGTGAAAATGTTTTTTAATTACAAATGAGAAAAAAGAGAAAAAAGGAAACATCAGCACATGGCTGATTAAAAAAATTGAAAATAACGACGTTGGCGTATGTACGAGTGCTCAGGCATTTGGCTCATATTGAAGATAATCTACGCTCGGCTCTGTATGATGTCACTGAGAGCAATTATCACTAATAAGGCCGTTCTAAGGAAACAAGCCCCTCCCACCTGCTGTTCAAGCTTTCTGTTTATGAGGCGCATAAATAAATATTCGGAACTGTGAATCATACAAAGCAATTTTTAGTCCAAGAGTAAAAATATGTAGAAACGAGGGTCCCTTTAAGGTAAGTAGCACAGGCTTGATGTGAAACATTGACTGTAAACGAGCGTTTCCCTGTAACGGGCAGCAGCAGGTTAAAGCTCCTCAGTGTTGCAGTGAAACTGAGGAGCCTGAGTGCAGCAGGAGGCCACCGTGTCCTGGAAGAGATGTGAGCAGAAGACGGTCTCACTTACTGTCAGTGCATATGTGAGTAAGTGACTGTGTGACAGAGAGACAAAGTAAATGCATTTGTATTTATAAAGCACGTGTGCATGTACGGAGGCATTACTTATGTGTTTAGGAGCGCAGGTCTGTCACAGACGCTCGCTGATTGAGAATGAATTGTAGTGCACTTTGCATCCCAAAGATAATGGAGCTCATAAACATTTGAGGAACATCTCAAAGCACCCTGAGCACAGTAAGAGCAAACAGCAGCATATGCAGCGCTGCGGCAGCGCACGCTACCCGTCAGAAGCTCCAGGGACTGAATGCACTTTTGATAAAAGACACAAACATCTTCTGCGCTGTTAATGGTAATTCTCCTCTAAAACATTCAAAACCTGCTTAACAATAGCGTCGCATCACAATGCAAGTGTTGCTCTCACCAGTCATTGAACAAGGGCTGAATCTGCATCTGCAGTGTGCCAGCGTGCTGCTAGGATCCAGCTTTACAGCACACGGTGCTATAGCTGAGCCTTCAGGAGGGGGGGTACGCAAAATTCATGGGTTCAGCTTCATGGTGCGGCTCTTGAGTTTCTGGAAGTAAATGACTGTAATTTTTACTGAAACAGCTGAGACACTTAAATGTTGTGTAACATCAGAAAAAAGGCTGACGGGCTTTAAAGTCAGCAGAACGATGTTCAGCTTTAACAACACTGGGACAGGAGACGTCCAAGACAAGCTTGGTGCTCACAGTTTAACACGGCTGACCGATGCATATGCTGGTGCAGTGAGACCATTTACAGCATTAACTCCATGTGTAGTTCGAGTTAACACATAGATCTCAGAAATATAATTGATATATTATCATTGCCAACAGCTTTTTAGATTTTTTTCTTCTGGCAAGGCAAACATGTCGACACCTTCTCGGCTGAATAAAAACTGCATGTACACCGAGCGCGCGCACACACACTGTTACACCCTCAGTTGGACTTATACATGAATATCGTGTTTATATAAGAGAATGCAAATATATCCTTTCTCAAGGAGTGAAAATGACAAGTCACACATCATCTTGATACCTCCCACCCCATCTCGCTTCATATAAAACCTGCACAACCTTTAGACTGACGCGCGAGGCAACATGGCACGTGGCACAATTTCAAAACCTATTCAACCTACACATTTTTTAAAAGCGTTTTTTTCAGAGACCTTTCATTTATGTCTGCAGCTGATGATTTGAGTGACGTATTTATCGGCTGTATCAAAGCAACCCACATGGTCTGTGTATCTGAAAACATTGCTGTTCCACTGACTGTCATTCTTGCGAGCTGCCTACGAGCCCGGTAACTCCCTGTCACCTTCCCCCTGTTGTTGATGTTTACTGAATTGCAATAAAATGAGAAATGGAATCAAAAGTATCTTTTTACATGAACGTCGCCTCTCGGCTAACAAATGCAATAATGACTAAACTCGTTTCCATTCCTACTTTGTTACACTGTCAACACCAGAGAGAAGGCGCACTGCAAGAAATGGGATGAAGGCAAGGAAAGCAATCAGGGAGGTGACTGGAGACACCCCCCCCCCCCCCCAAAGAAATACGCCTGATGGCACTTAGTTATATGCACTGTAATGTATTGAGGCGGTTAATCACATCTACAAAGGGCCAAGGGGGGCAGCTAGTGCATCATCAGCCAGTGGTTTGTTTTAGCAAGAGAGTTGAGTGGGGCTGAGTCTGGGACGAGGGGTCACTCTGCAGTACGATGCAGAGCAGAGCGCCATGCTGACTCCAAACCTGAGTCATAGCCCTTTGTCTCACAGTCCACTGAGGGTTCAACAGATAGTAATTACACATCATGTAATTACACATCAGCACACAGGTATGGTCTGACACAACAGACCTGCTCCAGAGCCAGGCTGTGGGCTGTTACATAACACTATCCCTTTGCCATCATTTGCCAACATGGATGACCTTGAGAGGCGGGCAGAGTCCGGGCTAAGACGAGCAAGGATAGAAGCAAAGCAATCTGAGGCTTTAATTTGGGCAAATATTACAGGAGAGATTAATGTGTGTCTGTAGAAGGGGGGGGGGCAACAATGATTGGATGGGGCTGGTGGATGTGATGTGGTCATGCAAGATTGATTTGCAAAAGAAAAAAAACAACAACCAGGCGCTTCCCACTGAGGATGATTGGGGTTAAGGACACACACCACACCCCCGTCTTCTTCTTGCACACACACACACACACACACACACACACACACACACACACACACACACACACACACACACACACACACACACACCCTTGCGCAACATCAGCACCAGTGACAAACTACAGCACATCACACCACACGGTGCCATGTCATAGCAGCCCACCCCACGCAAGTCACAAGTACAAATCGTCAAATTTCACACAGGGTCCCCACTGTTACACAGAACAGCCTCGCTCTCCTCACTTTTGTTGTTAAATCCACAAGCCTTGTGTGTGTGTGTGTGTGTGTAGCCTGTGTGTGCGTAAGCAGCAAGAGTAAACCCAGGTAAGAAACAAACATGTTTATCTAATGCGATATGATCAGAAGGCTGTACTGATATATATATATGTGTGTGTGTCCTTATTAAAATGGACTTCAACCACAATACATCGATACATTAGCCTTATGATACCGAAAGGATGACGCACTGAGTTGCATCATGCTGATATAAATATAAATAAATATAAACTGAGATGATGCCGAGCAGTACAATAATAATTAGATTTTCCTGCATCTGTCAAGATTTTACGCAAAGCCTTCATCCTACCTTGCGAGAGTGTGGAGTCAACGAGTGTGGAGTCCGGTCTGGTGTCTGGAGTGGTCCAAAAGAAAGAAAAGAGAAAGAAAACACCTGCGAGCACGGCAAACAGCAAGAAATGCTCTTCTGTCGAGCTGGAGATTAGCGGTGCCTTTTGGGTTGTTGGATTTATTTAATTTTAGTTTAATGCTGGGGAGAAGTCGGGCTTTTACAGAGAGGAAGCTGTGCAGGTCCGTAGGATGATGCTGCGCAACACAAACTGCTGCTGATGTGCTGAGAGGAGGAGACAGATACTGAGAGAGCGCGCAGTGTGCGTCTGCCTCGCTCCCGCTGCCAGCCTGTGGCTGTGGATCACCGATACAGACAATAAAGGCAGCGAGGAGCAGACAAACACCAGCGTTTGTGTCCCCAATAATATTTTGTGAAGTAATACAAACCTTTCTTTGCCTTCCAGTGTCAGAAATACACATTTCAATGTGTTAAAGAGCAGAGGCTAATATCGATGGTGTTGACTTTATGTTAGCTAAAGCCTTAGTTACGTCATATTAATCAGCCCTGTTAGTTTCGCGCCAAATGTGGGACATCAGTTAGCCAGCGACTGTAAATACAGCAGCCTGGTGAAAAAGCTTTCCTTCAGAAGGTAACAACCATGGGGCAAAAAACGTAACTCACAGCATCTAGAGAGTCAGTGATCATTATAGCTTACAGTGTAAAACAAAGTCGCAGTCTGTTTTCTTTCATTATTATAGCAATATCACGAACTAAGCTAGTGAGAAGCCAGCTAGCTTCACTTGTAAATATTACCTCTATAAAGCCTAACATACAAAAACCAAGTTACACTATTACAAGTGACTTTAAAGAGTAATTTAGGGATCTCTGAAGAGGCAGGCACTTTGTATGAACTGTTAGTTCTGTTGCAATGGCTAGAAAGTAAAGGCTAAATGAAGGCTAACAGCTAGCAAACCTAAGTCTCTTTTTACCTTTGCTAGCTACAGGACACTACCTTGTTATACTAGCACGAGTACAGTAATGAAATATTTCATCGTGGCATTTTTTAGTTTTTTGATCGTTGTTCACGACAGTGGTGATTAACATCTACACCTGTTTTCCGTCTTTGGAGAATTTCTTTTGTGGTTGTTTTACTAAGCCAGCTACAAGCTACACCTACAGCAGCTGTCATGAAGCTCCTGGTGCATAGTTTTGTGCTGATGTTAATGGAGCTTTACAGAAAATTGAGTCAGCAGAGCTTTAGTGACCTTGACACACTATACACCTCAGCAGCCCTGCTCCAAGTTTACCTGGTGTGCCATTTGTGGCTGAGCTGCTGTGGTGTCTAAATGCTTTGAGTTTGGATTAAATCTACTCACAGCTGATTAGAATATCACAAACTGGCTTGTTGCAATGATGATATTCTATTACAGTAGCATACCTGAAATCATTGAGCTCTTTAGGACAATCCATTCTTTAAAAAATGTTTATAAAGGCAGACTGCACGGTTATGTGCTTGGTTTTATACACCTGTTTCAATGGGACTGAAAACACGTGAATTCAAACGTTAAGGGATGTGACCCAATACTCTCCATATAGTGTATATATCATGTAGTAGACCGTTACAGCATTTATGTGTGACAGGATATGCCAGGCACCCTGTTGTCCTGAAATTCTTCCTTCTGTCTTTTGTGTGGGTAATGGCAGCAGTTTGACATGTTAGAAGCACAAATTATGAAATGAATGCTGACTGACTTCCACTCAGCTGTTTCTGTTTTAGGTTATAGGGTCATGGCTCAGTTGAATGCTGTGGGAGCTGATGTAAAAGATGCTAGTAAAACTCGTTAATATGTTATTTGATCAGTCAAAATATCTTATAAAAAGAGGCTTATCATGCTCATTGTACACAAAGTACTGGTACTGAGGTGTATAGTGTGTAACCGTCAGTGGTATGGTCAGAAACCACATCAGTACTTGATACTAGAATAACACAATATTATCTTTTGTTTCTTTAAAGGATTGTTGGGGGATTACTTCCATGTGATTGGAGTCATAAGGTGAGATGCTGCACGTGCTATTGTGTAATGAAATGTGCACTCTTGTACATGATGAAGTAGCTCATTGTTCACCAGCATTGTTATAATGATGCCTTTGTAATCCAGCCTCTGCACCGTGTTTTTTCTTCCTAAAAATGTTATTTGCCAACAGTAAGTTTTGTATTAGCAACATTCTGGACATGATTGCTTATTTGACGAGTAACACTCGGATTTGAGCTGTGTAGCTTCCAGATGCAGAGCTCACACTGTGGTGGGCTTTTTTTTAGGTTTTATAATTCGATGAGAACATGAAAGTCCCACAAGATGATGACATCTCACAAACAGAGAGGGAGCTCACGTCACCACCCTCCCCAAAACGATCCAGACCTGAGTGTAGAGTGATGAATGACCACAGTGGGTTAAGCAAGTTCGACTTTCCAGAGCTTTTGACATTTAGGAAAACTAATCATTCCCCATCATCAGCAAGTACCCTGCAGAAAACCGAAGGCCCGATTAGCACATTTGAATGTTTGGAAGATGAGAAATCTCAGGAGCGACCACAAGACACTAAGTCTGACGTCAGTCCTAATACTGAGGTGACTTCATACAATAAGAGTACACACGTGGAATCATCTAGAGTGTGTTTTGTTCCCACTGAGGGCTACCTACTCCTGGGGAAAGAGGAGCAGCTTCCAGTTACTGAAACAGACAAACTCAGCTTTTACCAGTCAGATGATACAGATGGTTCATTAGGAGAGTCTGCCACCATAGCCAGTACTAACACATCCAGTCATTCTGATGGCAGGCTACCAGGGACATCCCTTAAAGATCAAACCCCTGGTGGTTGCAGTCCTTCCACTGGAAATGAAAAATATGGGAGACAGGTACAAAAAAATGTCAATGAAATGCATACGAGAAATGAAGAGGTCAGATGTCAGCCTAATTGTACTAATAAAGAGTCAGTCTGTGACGTAGGTTACTGTAGCACAAGGAACCAATTTGCTGAAGTTGTAGAGACGACTCAGAAGAGGACTGAACCTGAGTTTAATGAGTATATTGTTTTCACTAAGGAAGAGAGTGAGAGTAAGAGATCTTCCAGTGATTATGCAGATTCTAAACCACTCTGTTCAGACCCTGTAGAAGAGCCCTCTGGGAACTTGGTAGAAGCTGGGAAAAAGGAAAAAAATGATTCAGGATTACAGTTCTGTGAGAAAGAAAATGTTTCTGTCTGTGATGGGAAAACAGAAGGCCAAGTTAATAAGAAAGCCCTCATCCTTTTTGCTGCTGTATGCGGTGAAGGATCAATTCTTTCTCATGATGTGATGTTAGAAAGAAATCCTGCAAATGAGAGCCCGAATCTCGATGTTGATGACCTCTGTGGGGAAAAAAGAGCGGATGGTGCTTGCAAGATAATAGCCAAAGCTCAGAGTGAAACAGCTGATCACACAACAGTGACTACGTTGCCGGCTAGAATCAGTCAAGAGCCGGCTGAAGGAGATAATGATGAAGGCCCTTTCCATGTAATTGACCCTGCGATCTGTAGTGAAACTGACAGGGAAGCTGAAGAAAACTGCTGTAACTCAGCAAGCGCTGCAGGTCCCAAATTATCTCCATCAGTAGAAGTCGACAAGATGGAAATGCCTCTTCCACTCCATTCCCACATGAGGACATCAGAAAAGGTTTCATGTCCCGACCGGACAGAGTGCTTTAATAATGAAAGCAGGACATGGCATCAGGAAGGTGCAAACGATGACTTCTGTCAGGCAGGACTACAGTCTTCTTCCGTCACCACCAATGAAACGCACAAGACTTTCACTGAATGTGACTGTCAATGGAAATCCAGGTTCAGCAGGAGCCCTACAAAGCCTCTCCCTCCTGGGGATCATGCAATACAAGGAAGCCACGGTTCCATGGGACATGAGTTCAAAGAGCAGAGTCGCTCCAGCTGTTTTTCTGTCAGGCTTGACCCCCTGGAGACGTCGGAAGTCGAACATTCACAGAGAGAAATTGACAGCGTGGACATGACAGCTGTGATAAAAGAAAGCAAAGAAATCTGTTTTGTGAAAGAATTGGAGATGAATGACTATATGAACCCGAAGAGGACAGTGGAGTTGGAGGAAAAACCGCTACTGCAGAATGGACAGCACAAGGATAACACAACTGAACTTCTTACTTGTGATTGCAAGGCTGAATGCAGCGAGGGTGAAGCACATGAATGGGACAGTGAATTAAAGCTCACTGAAACCGAACAAAGAAGCAAGCTCGAGCGTTTGTCTGACCAACCATTCAGTGCTGATATTTCCATGACAGAAGTGGGAGAAGAGGAAAGAAAAGAAGTGACAGAAGTTGGAGACGAAATGAAAACTGATGGGCCTGAAAACTCAGCAACACTGGTGCAATCTGAGGATTATGTTCAGCAGCAAAATGACCACAAAGCAGACGTGACTCAACTGTCATCTGGTGATGGCGCTGATGAATGGACAGAGTGGAGCACATTGCCCTTGGGAAGCGAAGATGGACAAGAACACAAGCTTAGTTGTGTCTCTGATTGCCAAGACAAAGCTGAAAATAAAGCTGACTTTTCAGCCTTCAGTTTTTCTTCAACAAGCGATGCAGTCGTACCGTGTCAGGGCAATTTAAGCCATTCACAGAAGGCTCACAGTAATCCCACTTCCATAAACTGCATTGACAGATTTTCCCCATTGCCATCTGCTCTCTGTAACCTAGTGCCGGAGGGGTTTGACACTTTCGAAAAGATCCAACTCTCACTAGATGATGATGACGCCACTGGAGTGGGCAACATCCCTGTCCTCGTCAGCTCGCCTGGGCAGCTGCTATACCACTTTATGTCAGTGGCAGAAAGCAACATGCGTGAGAGGATACCAGAAGAGGAGGAGTGTATCACTGAGAACATGGCAAACAGGCTTCTTAGCAGTGATTCTGCCTGTAATGAACTCCCAAACTTCATCTTAGGAGCAGATGCCATTGCTCTCGAATGGCCCGAGCGAGAGCCTAACTGTGAATCGGTCCGTGATTCCTCTGAGCACATTCAGGATGAATTAAACCCAGAGTTAATGTCCCCTACTGTTTCCGCTGAGAGTGACAGCCCTGCCTCTGGTGTGAACAGCTGTGCTGAGTTTGAAATGAAAAACCAGTTCGACTCGGTCTTGAAAGAGCTGAATTTGTTTTTTGAGATCAGTAGAAATGACTTTGAAAGCGACTGCAAAGCAAACTTCATCTCGCCTGAGCAGTGCACTGACAGAACTAAAGTCTTGGAAGGCAGCGCTTCAGAACGGACAGAGCGTCTCACCAGTCCAGACGTGGGACGCCACAGAGGCGCTGCATCAGGTAGTTATACGTAGGATAGAGCAAACACAGTAATACTGACAGCGCCCGTGAGATACAGCAGTAAGCACCCCAGGCGTTTCCATTGACCGTTCAAATAAGATACTTCAGCTGCACAGTTTAAACTAGGGTTGTTAAAAATACTAATACTTAAACTCTAATCAATACTTAAAATTCTATTTAAGTGTATGCATTAATTTGCAACTGCATCAATACCAGCAGTGCTGTCTTCACCTCCTCCAGTTGACCTAACTTCACCCAGACAGGCACACGGCACTTCCTGTTACTGACTTTCAAAACACTGAAAAACACTTTGTGAAGTATTAAAGAGGTCAGTAAAGTTCCTGTTACTGCAACGTTAACCTTACGAGTGCATACTTTAATGTCACACACTGAACTGTTAGCAGTTAAATAACCACATTAGTCATCTCATGTTATTAAAGGACCACCTCACAGCTGTGGTTAATAATAAGAGCCTCTTAGTTGTTTTTCAAGTGACGAGTAGTTTCCTGGGTATCGGTATTACGTTTGAAGTTCTAGTACTGTGACAGCCCTCATGTCCACTGTCCTTATTTAGATGTCCAAATCCAAGCTAGCATGCTCAGACGAATAAATCATCAATGAATAGTTTGCAGAAATACACGTATTTGTTTCTCATGACTAACAGAGATGATAAGACTCTGTGGTCAGACTATGACATGATAGCATTCATTATTGTACCATAGTTTTTATGTAATGTTACAAAAAGATGTAAAAGCAACCAAAAAAAAACCCCAAAGCGAAATAAAATCCAAAACAATTTGTTAAACTTGGTTCATGATATAAGTGCAAGAACCTGAAAAATTGATAAAAGACGAGCAGATTTTACTTTTACTCCATTTAAGTTAAATCATCCCAGCTGTTATATCAAAAACTAAAAACTAATATCTTTTACGTTTGGGTCAGATTGACCCCAGGAATCAAAAGCTTCCGAAGATGTCTGTCATATAATTTAAGCAAATAAAGCAAATTAAATTATGTTTTTAAAGTAGCTGGTACTTGATATGCAAAATAGTTAACATTATCAAAAATAATAAGTAGAACTGACTCACATGGAATTAAAAGTTTGATGAACTTCGGCTGTTTCAGTCCAGCGTCTGAAAAATGAAGCAAGGGTTCTCAGTCATCCTTCCTAAAGTTACTTTCAACAGATAAAGGTGACAGTGGTCAAGAGGCTTCCTAACAGCGCTTTATAAACCAATGGATGACTTTCATCATGTATATACTGTCCATAATCCACTGTATATAACTATATATTGGTTCAATTAGGAGCTCAACTGATTCTTCTTGGATATCCTGATAATTCTGCCAGTTTGTTCTGATTTTGACTGCTCAGTGGAAAATATATTGCTTTCTGTTTATTGTTTTCAAATTTTTAGATGATGTTGCCGAGGACCACAGCCTGGACATGTGTGAAGGTGATCCGGTGGTTTCTCGGACTGCTGTCAGTAGTGACGGAGAGCAGGAAGTGCCTCTTAGCGGACACCTGTGCCGGGAAGCTCCTGTTGCAGAGAAACACAGAGGTTCACAGCTGATTTAATTCAATATTTCTGGCCTCTGTTAAAAAGAAATACACAACAAAGATGAATATATTTATGAAGAAAAGGAGCAACAAAGTGTCTCTGTGATTAACATAAATAACATGGTTGAAAACGTCAGAAGGAAAAATGACAGGCTTGAAAAAAACATTTCATGAGAGTTGTTTAATTAGAGTTAAGTGCTCTTTTATTCCATTGTTTTCAGTTAACACTGTTTTTACAGAGCAGCGGGTGATTAAAAGGTCAGCTGGGTTAATTCACTGTGGAAATATAATTACTTTTATTGATTTGTCATTTCAACCTGACACAGCGTACTCTCATTAATGTTCCCTCCCCTTCCACAATATGCTGCGGTGGAACGATAACGCGCTCCACGAATGCAGAAACATGGGCTGAAGGGTAAACAGAGCAGCAAATACAGTAGGACAGAATTAGCGAGTGCTTCTTCTCTGCCTGTCAATATGCTGCTTTCAGAGCCCCGGGAGATGGAGCACAAACAGGAAGTGTGGTCTCCATCCTTTATGTGTTTGACTCTCATGGAACAACTGAGCCACAGTGAGTTATATGTAAAGGCTGAGCTTATACTTAAAAACATCTCATGGATAAAACACTTGGGATGGGCTTCATATTTTTTCCAGGATTTAAAGAGGGGCCAGAGGGGAATAGTGTAGCTCATTCAGTAATATTTTAGACTAATCGCTTTGTCAGAAATAGACATTTGAACAGAATGTGTTTGTACTGCATTTATAACCCCAAGTGTGCCTCTGAGTGTTTAACAGGAGAGGAATCTTACCACCTGCCTTTCTGGAGATGCAATGTTTTCTCCTTTTCTATATGCAGGACTAGGGCTGTTCGATATATATATGATGACGATATAAAAACATCTATCGTTTCATTTTACGCTATCGTTTGTTTCGTGGTGTCACAAAAACTGTTTACGGCAATATTTTTACATGGTTCTGATGTCACTGTAGTGGCTGTATTCATTTCTTAAAGTTCTCTCTTTCTCTTATATTTAATATAACCACACTACGGACGGACAAGTGCCTGTTTTTATGCGTTGTCGTTAGCAACAGCGACGGTAACGCCTTCGCATGTCTGCTTGTTTATGTTCCACATAAACCTTTCACAATAAAGCTCAAGATCCTGTTGAGACTTTTCAAAATAAACTGAATCACGTGAAAGAGCAGATTATTTACGGATGAGAAGCAAAAAAGAGCCGCCAGGTGCTAAAAAATAAACCTTAGACTCAAACGTTAGAACAGGCTTTTCCCCGCAGCACGCCGTGTAATAAATACTCACAAAGGAAACTTATGTCTAAAAATGTGTCGTTTCATGCATCGTTAAAACACTCGACTCCGGGTAAAGGACGCGCAGCTGGAAACACTTCCCGCAAGTCGAGCTGCCCGAGATTCACAGAATTTACAGAAAAATGTTAAATTTTTGTGATTTATATCGTTATCGGGCGATAGACGTCTTATATCGGGATATGAGATTTTGGTCATATTCACAGCCCTATGCAGGACAGAATAAGTCTAATAGCAGCGCTACTCTGTCATGTTAATCTTTTCAGCGTTAGTATATGAAATGTGTGGCTCTTATTTTTGCTGTGTATAATACTGCAAACACGCACACAGTGTCATCTCAGGTTGATGATTGTGGCCAACATTAGCAGCACTTGGGGAAGCAGCCTGTTTTCTTGCATTTAATGTCCACATGCATCTGCACAATGTGGTTATGTTGTGTAGTTATATGCCAATTTACTTTAACACATGCAGCTGTCACATGTCTTACATTTCAACTAATTTGTTGAATTCAAAGACAGAGTGGCACAGCTAATGTAGGATAGCCAGGTAGTAACACCTACAGGTAAATGTCTTTGCATGTTAATCAAATACTATCTGTTTTACTGATTAGTATTTCTGGTGCCAGCTAACACAGGCAGAGAACATTAAATGTCTTGTTGACTCGTCACACACACCTCTCTGGAGCCATAGAGAAACAGGAAGGTGCAGGAATAGCTGGTTAGGAGTGATTGAACTTTTAAAAATATAGAGAGCAGAATGTTTAGTAGGAAATGGACTGCATATAGTGTCACGCTCTGAGACAGAAGACACATGAGTCACCAAGGATGTGTTTATGGTGTGTGTTGTGTGCAGGAGCTCCTGAGCAGCCCAGGAGACTACAGCCGCTGAAAACATGTGCACGGCCGATCCGGGTTGGACTTTCAAAGAGAGCCAAGACCAAACACCTGCACCGGCCCCGCCCCTACAAGTGAGCGTTGGACATGAGGTTGGGTGAAGTGTGCGAGTGTAAACAACCTCGTGTGAAGCTTTGTGATGCAGTGTTCACGACCTCGAGGGTTATTATCGGATTTACAGCGTTCCTGTTATCTTTTCCTGAGTTGTTGAGGTTTCCGTACATTTTAGTTCCCCCGTTATCCAAAGATGTTTGGGTCCATAAAATATCCTGACAAGGATTCGTTCTTAGTATTTCTCCACATTGTCCAAGCCGGAAAAATATTCAGGTTTTTAATGGCAAAACATTTAGATCTTTATGTATTTATTAACTTATTGATATACTGTATTTATCTGCTTCTTTCTAGCTGTATGGGTGTGGTGTGTTATCTTTGCATTCTGCTGTTACTGTTCTCCTGTTAGCTGGAGTTCAGTACTGAAACTGCTTTATTTATTCAAATATGTTTCTGATGTCCACAGTATGCATGGCTGTATCTGTTGGAAAACTCTAATCCATGATTTGTGCAGTTTTCCTTGTTTTAATGTTATTCCATCATTAGTGGCAGTTTCCTGCGGTGTTATTAAAAACTTGATCGGATTGTTGCTTTTTCTTGCGTTACATTCTTTACGTTTACTTTTTCTCAGCAGCTGGGCGACTGTAGCGTCCTCAAGCAGCTTTCAGACAAACTACTGAAGCACAAAATACCAGCAAATATTAATGAAATGAATACAAATTTACTCCACTCGTGTATTTAAAACCTTCTAGTGTTAAAACAATGTAAGCTCCTCTTTCAGAACTGAGCTGAGCTGATCTGAACTCTGAGTCAGCAGCGGTTATGCTGGCTGCAGGCAGTGGAAGGGACACCTCAGTTTAAGTTCTAGCAACAGTATCAGAAGTGCTTTTAAGGTTTGCTTACATTCACAGCTCCTCGTTTGTAAAGTGAATGGGATTGTTTTTATTCTCAATTCAGACATTTTATTAAAATTGGAGGAGTTTGCTCCACATTGGGGATTTGTATCATAGCATTGCCATTATTATGTCAGAATTTTATGCAGATTACAAGTTCTTTTTAAACAGGAGACACATGAAAAAGTACAAGTCACATGACACATTTTGTTTCGTAATCAGGACATTTCTCTTCAAATTGGCTCCATTTGGTCCTTTTATTAACTGGTGTCCCCCAGTTTGAGCAGTGTTGTATTCACGCCTGTTTTTTGAGATTTTGGAACGAGATTTTTTATTTAATGTTTTCATCACATCTCAGAATCGAAACGGTGGAACTTTTCTTTGTCTCAGTGAGCAAGGTGCCTCAGCTGGCAGACGGGCAAGTACAAATCAAAGAGAAACAATGCCACGGCATGGCTTTCCAAAAATAATTGGATTCAGACGCTAAACATTCAATCTGCCTTTTTAATCAGGCCCAGTCTGTGAAGGCTGTGCGTGTAGAATTAGATTTCTCTCCTTTTGGGTTTGTTGGTAATGATTTTGTCAGTGCTAGTTGTGTCTGCGCGGTGTTTGCCCAGTTTGCTGATTTGTTGCCGCTCCTTTCTTCGTGTGGATATTTCCCCTCTCGGAGACATTTTCAGCTCAGTTTCTTTTTAATGACAGATTTGTTTTATGACTCCTACAAACTGCTAATTTCTTAATACATTATTCATTTATCAATAGCGATTATTCTAATAGCTTAATGTTCCATCATTGTGTTTAATGATACCATATTTCCATCTCCAACTGCTGCTATTTCTTTAATCATTTCTTATTGATTACACACCAGCCTGTAATCGTCATGTTTTAGTAACACTTAACTAGACGTGCAGTCGAGTGTGTTAGCAACTGTTACATAATGGTCACATTTCTGAATAAAGGAATGATGAGCCTTTTTGCACATAATGGGGATGAGAAGTTCATTCCAGACAGTTTTCCAGTTGATGAACTATACTTACCATACATAGAAACAGAAGTGCATGAACTCTTACACTGCTCTCAGTGTGTAGATCTCAGGAACTCTTTTGACAGGAAGTTGTCTGAGCGACCCGCTGCGAATTAACTTTATTAAGATGATTTTATTATTTATTAAGAAATGAAACACATTCACACTTTGTAAAACACATTTGGCAAAGTGATGCACTTGTGATGCATAATGGTATCCAGTAAGAATACTGGTCAGCCTTAGCTTGTTATCTGTGGTCACCAACAGTTCCAGTAACTGTGTCTCTGTTCTCAGATCTTTACAAATGTTTCTGTGCTGTTCTTGTGGGGAGAGATTGAGATACAAAGTCTAGAATGACTTTTGCCTATTATATATTTTGTGTACGTGTTTGTAAAATTGCACAAGAACTTGATTTTAAATGTCCTCTAAATTGCTGAAATACGCAGTAGTGGTGCTATATCCGCTGGCTGTGTCAGAGTTTCTGCGAAAGCAGTTTGAAAATTAGATTCTGCATTTGCTGCTTTTTTAAAAGAGTAATCACTAATCACATGGTAATGAGGACATGGATTAAAATGAAAATAATGAGGGTAAAATGACTTAATGTGCTTCAAATACTAGCTTTTTATGTGTATGTAGAATTCATTTAAACAAATAAAGCCTAGGAGGCAGAGAGCAGTCCACACAGATTAAGATCATATGGAGATGTGACACATGTAAACTTTGAATGCAGGTATTTTCAGTCTCATTGTCACATGTGCATAAAGTCCTATGTCTGCTTTTACAGCTGTAGAAGAACAGGTTGTTCCAAAGAGCTGACAGAGTCTGCATGATACTGTAATAGGACGATGCTGTTGCGATAAATCGGTTTGTGAGGTTCTCTCTCCTCGCTATCCGAGCTGGCATTAACATTAGTATAAAAACTTAACCAAGGTAAGTAGCATGGATTTCCATGGCCATCCAGGTTCTGTAGTTGTAATCTATATGTAGCCTGGTACTTTTGTCCAAATAATATAAAATGCCTCCACACTCAAGTGTTAGTTTGACAACCAAGTACAGTTACAGATGGCTAATCAATTAGCCATCTGTCTTCCACGTATTCTAAGCATAGGTTAATTGATCTAAATTGCCCACAGGAGTGAATGTGAGTGCGGTTGGTTGTCTGTCCCTGTGTGTTAGCCCTGCGACAGACTGGCGACCTGTCCAGGGTGTACCCCGCCTCTCGCCCTAAGACAGCTGGGATAGGCTCCAGCGCCCCCCACAACCCTGAAAAGGAGAAGCAGAAGCGAATGGATGGATGGATGTTATTCTAAGCAGGACTATATGGAATACTTCAGTGTTTTTCCCACCACCTGTAAATATCCCCAGTCAGTAGCTCTGTAATGAAGAGGTCTCCCTTACATATGTATTTTCATTGTGGTAACTGGTACAGCACTTACATTATATATACATATGTACATATCTATCTCTCTCTCTTTATATATATACATATATATATATATATATGACCATTTGCATACAGGAAGTTTAATTATTTATTGAATATTTATTGGGTATTTATGAATGATCTAATTAATAATAATTAGCGAGTAGGCCTTTTGTTCTAGGACCTGCACAGCTGCTCCTCATTAGGAAGTGTGGAGGGAAAATGTTTACTGGGAGCAAATAAGGTCTACTGGTTAGCAAAAACAAGACAGATGTTTGTGTGTAAAGTCTTGAGGAAAAAGTGTTGGTGTAAAGAAGTTGCTTGTTGAAATGTGATTACTTACATGTTTGCAGTGTCCTCTCAGGGTGTTTGGGGAAATGCTTCCCCTGGGTCGGGAGACCAGGTCCCAGGATAGGCCATGGGTTAAGGGAGTGTGGGGAATTTCTCTACATGGATTCTTTTGTTCATGATGGTGCTGAGATGTAAGATTAAAATATAAAATATTTAACAATTATTAGAAAACGGTCAAATGCATATCCCAAAAAGTTGATTCTGCTGAAACTAGCACCACTGACGATCAGTGGTTCGGGCTTTCAAACCCCAAAACATGCTGTGCAAAAAATGTTGGTTCACCCGAAGACTCCGGTCCCGCAGCACAAACGGAGTAACATAGTCTCTGCTGGTAAATGCCAAGAAGATTGCCAGCATTTATGCATCGGGGAAACCAAACAGGCAGATGGCACAACACAGAAGAGCCACCTCGTCAGGCCTGGACTCTGAGGATGTAACATCCTGGACAGGGAGGAACGCTGGTTTGAGCGCCCAGTCAAGGAGGCCATTTACGTGAAACGAAACAAAACCACTCCGCTATCTTGGGTTAATTGGTCACATGACTGCATCGTATGACTGACATGTGTCGTCGTTTTAGAAACTCATCGTTTTCAATGTCCACACTGACGCTACGTTTTTAATTGAAAACGCCGTCTCAGTGTGGACGGGAGGCCAAAACGGAGAGAAAACGATGCGTTTTCTAACAAAAAAGAATTTGGTGAACTCACCTGTGAGTAAATAATGGTTTAGTCCTTTAATAGCTGAGAGGATTTAAGGCGCCGCTTGTCGTGGAGGAATCCGAAGCTTCCTCGAGGTCTTGGGTTGACTCCATCCCTACAAATCTGCTAACCACAGCTGTCGTTTCATCTGACTAAAAAGACCTAAATGACTAACGTTTTAGATTAAAAACACTGTCATGATTAGTGCAATGCTTTGCACAATGATAAAGATGTGTAATTATGTGTAACACTACCACCTCTGTCAGTGTTCTAGCTACCCAGTAATACTAACTGGGAATAATGAACAGACTTAGAAACAACTCAAGTGGGACGAAGTTTCAAACTTGGATTTCTTCTTCTGAATAAAATAACTCAAACAGCAGAGTTAATTTTCCTTTCCCTTTTATGTTGGATGTGATACAAGGTTTCTTTAAATGCTTATCTGCTTCTTCTCCATGTAGCATGAAAGAAACATCCCAGCTTTAGAAACAGTAAAAAGACTTCAAAGGCTCCAGTGAAGCCAGAATTTATCACTTTTTTCTTTTCAGGTTCTTACAAAATGACTCCTCCCCCATATCAAAAGCTTCATTGTATATTTCACTTAACACAAATTATGAGCTCCTAGCAACGCGAGGACCCGAGATGTAAAACAATACAAGAAGTGAAACCTGGCAGGGATTTAATCCCGTGTTTGTTAATTTCGTCCCCACCACTAAAATGAAAGGGATTAGACATGCACACATTTGTTTATTTCATTGGCAGAATGGAGGACGGCATTATCCCAGCATGAGGGTCCAAGTAATGTTATTATGTACACGGAGAGACCCTGAAGATGCAGAGTAGACGTGTTTCCCCCCTCGCTTTATGCCCTTTGAATCATCTACGTGACTCCACTGCGTAGGAAGAACTACCAAGGCCTATACTTAGAAAGCTTATTACTGGAAATTTAGGCGATAATTAATGAGGAATCAGCTGATATGTGTTCAATATTTCATCAGCTAGCAAGAGCAGTTATGAGGTGGCTTTCAATTTCGACTTTTTCTTTGGGCCAGGACATAAGCAAAATG